TCTGTGGTTTGGCATCTGATGTTAGTTTGGGGGAAATTATCAGTTATTATTGTTTTGAATTTTTTTTTGTTCCTGTATCTCTTTTCATTCTGTTATGCCTATTATGAGTATGTCACACTTTTCTAGTTGTTCCATACTTCTTGGACATTCTGTTTTATCTTTTTTCAGTCTTTTCTCTTTTAGTTTTGGTGGTTTTTATTTAGTTTTGGTGGTTTTTACTGATATATCCTCAAGCTCAAAGATTCTTTCCTTAGCCGTGTCTAGTTCACTGATGAACACATCAAACACATTCTTCTTATGTTACATTGCTTTTGCTCTCAAGCATTTCTTATGAATCTTTCTTAAAATTTTTATTTCTTTGCATACATTACTCATTTGTTCTTGCATGTTGTCTACTTTTAACACTACAGCTTTTAGCATTTTAATCATAGTTGTTTTAAATACATGAGCTGATAATCCCAGCATCTCTGCCGTATCTTGATCTGTTCCTGCTGCTTGCTCTGTCTCTTCAAATTTTCTTTTTTACCTTTTAGTATGCTTTATACATTTTTATTGAAAGGTAGGCATGATGTTCTGGGTAAAATAACTAATCATGATCCTTTAGCTATATAGTAGTAAGACATGAGAGGGTGGGAAATCATAATCATTCTATAGTCCTATGATAAAGTCTCAGTCCTGGGCTGTAAACTTCATAAAGGCTTTTCCCCAACCATTCACTCCCCCCACTTTTTTTTTTTTCTTCACCTACATAGCTTGTAAAGGATGGCTAGAATGGGCTGGAATTGGGTATTTTTCTTCCCCCAGGTGAGGCTGGGTTAGACTTTGAAAATCCCTCAATAGGTTAGGCTCTGATGAAATAGTTTCTCCTCAGGGCAGGCTTTGTTAAGAAGTTCAGAATGCTCTGATATATTATTCAAAATGATTGCTTTTCTCTTCCTCCGGTGGAAGCCAGGAGATACTTCTTTAATCTTCTCCTTGAGAACCTGGTAGAGCTCCTAAAAGTAAAACTCAACAAAATTGTGACCCTGTCCCCATGTCTAGGTACCCCTGGAGTTTTTATCACAGGCTTGTTCCCACATCGCTTCTAGCAATTTGTCAATTAAAGTTCGGATTTTCCTAGCCCTAAACTAGTTTCCACCATGCTCAGGTGGGCTATGATTCTCTACTTACCTTTTTCTCCAAATTTGGGGGCATCAGTTTGCCCTGTGACCTCATTTCTCCATAGAATCTAAGAAGAGTTGTTCATTTTCCAGTTTGCTCACCTTTGTATATGTTGTTGGATTCTAGTGGCGACTTCTAAGCTCCTTATGTGCCAGACCAGAAACTAGACTGTCCTCTCTGTTTTTATGAAAATGCTCTCAGGTGTGACATTTAAACAAACAAAGATTGATGTTTTTCAGAGGCCACAAATAGACAAAATTTAAAAAAAAAATTCTTTAAAGAAGAGAAACCATTGAATTATGTTAATATTTGTACTCCTCTCTAATATGGTTGTAAGTAAAAAATCAGTAACATCTGTTCTGGATCATGAGTCATAACCACCTCTACTCATTTAGAACATTTTCATTTACTACCTGCAGCTCCTCTTTTGCACTTTAGAAATATGACTTGGATATAGCTCAAAGGAGGAGTGAAGGCCCTTTTCATTATCCACATCTACATTTCCTATTAACTGCTTTTCACTCTTTATGATGAGAGTCCCTACATGCAGAGATTTCTGATGGAAGGAAATTAAACCTTTCTCACAAGAGAAAATTTAGCTTTTAGAAAGTTGTTAATGTTGCTGAAGTTGAACATAGACCTACTGTTAATATTACTAAAGAAATTACTGATCATAATGTTTTAAGTATTACATAAGAATTTTCCTTTGACATTTGAAAATCAATGTGGTTGATACTCCCCAAGACACTCTATTTTTATTGGAAGATGGTTTTTATAACTTTTGAACTTAAAAAGCTCCTTGAACAACAGTTCACATGTTTCTGTTCCCGATTCATTGCCATAGTAGCAAATTTACATAAGAATGAGGTATATTTTGACAGGAAACAAAGCAAACATCCATTTTGGTTAACTCTCTGTATACCATCCGGATACATAGACTCCAATTTTAGTTTTTGAGTTTTTATTTTGTTCAAATTTAACTATTTTTAAGGTTTGATATTTCATCATGACTTTTATCCTTATTAGAAGTTTTCAAAAGAACAAAGAGTAAATTTACCTTTTTAAAAGATACAATAAAACTTATTCCATCTTGTAATTGCCATAAGATTCTGATGGGCCCTTTACACATCATTAATCCCAAAATATACTATGAGATTTTAGTGATCTTATTTTTCCTATTTCTTAAAACATGTTGCTATTTTATTATTACTCGTCAAATATTTTCAACTATGTTAAAAAGATGAAGACAGTTATTTAGATGGAAGAATGGTGGAGTCAACCAGAAAGGTGATACAGAGGTAAAACATATAATCACTGAAGTGTTTTTCCTAGTATTCCAAAAATCAAGATCTCTCTCTCTTTCTTTCTCACTCTCTCTTTCACACACACACACACACACACACACACACACACCCACACACACACCCCATAATGTTTATTAGCTAAGATGGAAGCAAATATTTGTTGATTATTTGTTATCTTCATACCTATTTTTAGGAGTTTTAATTAAGTAGATTATATTAATTAAATCTCACAATATACCAGTGAGGTAATCATTTTTACTCCTGGACCTCATTGAACTAAAGAGCTTTTGTGCAGCAAAAGAAACTATCTACAGAGTAAATAGCCCACAAAATGGGAGAAAATATTTGCAAGCTCTGCATCTGAAAAAGGTCTAATATTCAGCCTCTATAGTAAGCAAAAAATAAAAAACCCCATTAAAAAGTGGGCAAAGGAAATGAACAGACACTTTTTAAAAGCAGACATATATGTGGCTAATGAGCATATGAAAAAATGCTCAACATCACTGGCCATTAGACAAATTCAAATTAAAACTACAATGAGAGACTGTCACACACCAGTCAGCGTGGTTATTAATAAAAAGTCAAAACATAACAGATACGGGTGAGGTTGCCGAGAAAAGGAAATGCTATATACTACTGGTGGTAATGTAATTTAGTTCAGCAACTGTGCAAAGCAGTTTGGCAATTTTTCGAAGAACTTAAAATTGAACCATCATTTGACCCAGCAATTCCATTATTGGGATATATACCTAAAGAAATATAAATCATTCTACTATGAAGACATATGCACACATATGTTCGTTGCTGCACTATTTACAATAGCAAAGACATAGAATTAACTTAGATGCCCATCAATAATAGACTGGATAAAGAAAATACAGTACATATTCACAATAGAATACTATGCAGTCATGTAAAACAACAGGATAATGTCCTTTTAGCAACATGGTTGGGACCGAAGGCCATTACTGTAAGCAAGATAATGCAGTAACAGAAAATCAAGTGCTGCATGTTGTCACTTATAAGTGAAAACTAAATGTTGAATACATGTGGACACCAAGAAGAAACAATAGATACTGGGGCCTACTTGAGGATGCAGGGTGGATAGAGGGTGAGGATTGAAAAAGTACCTATCGGGTACTATGCTTATTACCTGGGTGATAAAATAATATGTAAACCAAACCCCACAACACACAATTTATCTATATAGTAAGCCTTTATATGTACCCCTGAAACTAAAAGTTTAAGAAAAATAATTATTACCCCTGGTTAATTAATAAAGAGAGTCTAAGAGCATATGCATTGTTTTATATCTTATGCTATCTAATTTAGTAGCTGATACCAAGTAAATGATCAATATATTTTAATTAATAAATTTTTTCAGGAAACTGAGATTTTTGGGTGAAATACATATACATTTTAAATTCTAAGTAATATTGAACACTTACTGAATATAAAATGTGGCCCCTGCCTTTAAGGAATATTCTAGTTTTACAGAATACTTAGACATGTTCATAACTTACCATAATACAAGGAGGAAGTTCCGCAGCGTAATATGACTGATTTTGCAAAAGAGTTGGCGATTTCTCCTATTCGGAGGAATCATCTGTAGTAGTACAAAACCTTATACGTTCATCAGTGGAGAGAAAGGGTATTCCAGAGGGATCATCTCAAGTATACAGCTGGATATAGGAAAGAGGATAGTTTACATGTGACAAGCCAGTTGTAGGTATGAATATAGTAACCTGTTCATCTGAGTTTATATATTTTGTGACAACAGTTGTAACCAATAGATACATATACACATATACATACTTTAGCACATATCAAAATAATATCATAGGATAGTTTTTTATGAACTATTTGGTTACTAATTATTCTGGTTTTAGGAGTGGTATGATGAAAAAATGTACTAGTAGCCTTCATTCTTGCCGAATCTTTCTCTGAGGCACTGTTTACAGCTCAGTGGTCCAAAATGGAGATGGCAGACATTCTGGAAAAAATTAGAGGCTTGTGTTCAGATGAGTCTGGCCAAGCTGTATGACCTCAGGCAGGGTACTTCATTTACCTCAGTTGTGAAGTGAGGAAGGACTGCATACTTTACAAGGTTATAATGATAATTAAATAAGATATCTATATAAAGTCCTTGTCCCATGTCCAGCATATGGTAGATATGAAAGTGGAGGTAGCTGGGGTTCAATTCTAGATCCTATATACTCCAGAGCACACAAGCTCACCAGAACCTAGAAATCAGATATACAAGACACTAACTTGAGGACATCCAACTATCCAAATTTAAGAGAGGAGATTTGCCAAATAAGTAAAAAGATGTTCATATTATTACTTTTGGATTGCATTGCTCCACTCAACAATGGGAAGCTGAGTTTATTAGCATATTAATTAAAGGGACAGTTGGAACAAAATACTGTTATAATAATAATGAGAAAGTAGAAAATTCTAATTGTGTAACTCAGTATTTATTTGAATAGGAACATAGGCACTTTTTTGAAGCAGCCATGTTTCATTATCTTACAGATAAATCCAAAACAAGTGACAAAGTTTCTGCACTGGCCAAGAAAAGGGTAAGGTTGTGTTTTATTATATAAAATATACAAACTTCAAATTCCATTTGATTAATAGTATTTTATAAAGAAAATTAAATTATTTAAAAACAATGTCACAGTCCATTTTTTCTTCTAAATGTTACTTCGGTGTATGTTTCTTTTCTTAGGTTGATACTAGGAAATTAATATTTATGGTTACTTATATTAATGTTATAGGACTATCAGAAGTTAAAACAATAGAAAACTATAAGTAAACAAGTCAATGAGTGCTTTTACTTAAATTATATTTCATATTCATACTCTTATATACTCTTCACACTCATACTCTTATAAAATGTTTTTATAGCCGGGCGCGGTGGCTCAAGCCTGTAATCCCAGCACTTTGGGAGGCCGAGGCAGGTGGATCACAAGGTCGAGAGATCGAGACCATCCTGGTCAACATGGCGAAACCCCGTCTCTACTAAAAGTGCAAAAAATTAGCTGGGCATGGTGGCACGTGCCTGTAATCCCAGCTACTCAGGAGGCCGAGGCAGGAGAATTGCCTGAGCCCAGGAGGCGGCGGTTGCGGTGAGCTGAGATCGCGCCATTGCACTCCAGCCTGGGTAACAAGGGCGAAACTCCGTCTCAAAAAAAAAAAATGTTTTTATATACTATATTACCATAATGTGTGTACACAATCTCATAGAAAATTTAAATAAAATTTGGAGCTCAACATGGCCTCTATCTTAAACTTAAGTAGATCACAATATCAGCCATTTTAATGACTTTTATGAACCTGGAATTTTTTAAATGTAAATTGTCAGCAGCATTTTAAAAGAATTATTAAAATTTAATACATTATTCTGAATATTGTATTCAGAGAGTTGTTTACTTACTGTCAAAAACTTGACTGAGATAGGATGAACCTTGACATTCTCTTCAACTGCTGATGTTCTTACTACTAAACAAAGAGAAAAAGTTGGTGCCTAAAACAAATAGTTCTGGACATATACTAGTGCCACAATAAAAGGAATTATGATAGACAGAAAAGCCTATGATGAGATTTCCCATGTTGAGCAGTGAGGCAGAGCAGATCAAGGGATGGTCAAGTGCAACCTCGAGGAACAGAAAAGGATGCCATTGGGCGTGTAACTACTGATGGCGAGGCAAAGGCTGGGCATCATGTTTGTATTCGGAATATGTACATTTTATGAGTCCTTCTAAAATCAGAGTTTGTTTTATCTTTTTGCTTTTTGGCTTATGAAAGGAATTTGGTCTTTTCACTGGCTGAATAATGTTCATGTTCCTTTGCAGAGAGGAATTCAGTATCACAGAAAACAAGGTTGCCCTTTGTAAAAGAAAGGCTATATGTCTTGTGTGTTCATCAGGAAATTTAGACAGGAATATGTGAAGTAGTGTAGTATTGTTAATGTGGACAGGTTTATTTCAATCTTTGCTAAAAGATATTTAATCAAAGATTATAAAGACAATAACTAATGTATCTATATATTACTTTATTTTTACCAGTTGTTCTTAACAAGGGTAGTACTGTCCTCAGTGCCATGGGCCAGATCTGACCTTTAAACTATTTTTGCTCTGCAATGAGATATGTACCGAAAGTAAGAGTAATCATTTATAAACTTGTATGGTACTTTGATAGAGTATTTTTTGTCTGTTGAATCTAATAATAATAAAATGGAGCTTACGTCTTTTAACATGTCTGTGTTTTTTATTTCATTTTTTCTCTAGTAACTCATTTTTATTTTATTTAATAAAAGTATAAATCTCAGATAGACTGGGGAAAAAACTGATTCTTTACCACAGATAGTTGGAAAGATACTGTCTTAGGAGACATTTTAGAAAATTTTGGAGATGCTGTGGGTTATAATAATTTTGAAGAATATAAGGTGTTTTACTGGGCAAGGGCTAGAGACACTAGGTATCCTGAGATGTATGGAACAGGGCTGTGTAAAACAACTGTCCAATATTTGGAATGATTTTGAACGTTCTGCTGGAGTCAGCAAACTAGAAGTATAATTATATATTGTGTTAATACAAAATAATACTGAAACATTACATGTTAGGCTAAAAGCCAAGGAATTAGAAGGCTCGTTATAGAGGGGCAAACTGACATAGAATAGACAGATTAAATAGCTCTAGAAATAATTGACTCTTTTACTGAACATTTTGTAACATTTTCAACTATATATTTAGCCACAAAAGGACAAAGTATAGTTACAGAGAAACCGTGGAAGGAATTTATAGATATGTAACAGGAAATTTGAGATGGCTTTTGTCTTAAAACTAAATATTACTTACTAAATTAATAGAGATATAGGAAATGCATTGATTTCACTGAATTTTTAAAATAAGCATTTAGAAATATTTTTAGTTCTTGTGTCAGTTTGCTAAGAAAGATGGTTTCCAGGTTCATCTGTGTCCCTACAAAGGATAAAAACTCATCAATTTTTATGGCTGCGTAGTACAGCAAATCTAACACTGCATATTCTCACTCATAGGTGGGTGTTGAACAGTGAGAACACAGGGACACAGGGAGGGAAGCATCACACACCGAGGTCTGTCGGGGAGAGCTAGGGGAGGGACAGTGAGGGGTAGGGAGTTAGGGAGGGATAAAAATGTACATCCTTACAAAAATTTGTATGTGAATGCTCATAAAAGATTGTTCATAATACCTGATACGGTTTGGCTCTGTGACCCCACTCAAATCTCATGTTGAATTGTAATCCCACATGTCAGGGGAGGTGCCGATGGGAGATGATTGGATCATGGGAGCAGATTTTCCCCATGCTGTTCTCATTATAGTGAGTTCTTATGAGAGCTGATGGTTTAAAAGGGTGGCACTCCCCAGCTTTACTCTCTCCTGCCACCATGTAAGTCATGCCTTGTTTCTCCTTTGCCTTCTACCATAATTTTAAGTTTCCTGAGGCCTCCCCAGTTCTGTGTGATTTTAATTGACTCACAAAGAACTGTGAGTAAATTATAATTCCACATGTCAGGGGAGGGGCCTAGTCGGCCCCTCTTTTCTTTATAAATTAAATAAATAAATATTTTTAGTGTTGTTAGCAAGATTATAAAACATTTCCACAAACGTGATCTTTCACTTTAGACCCCGAGGGGAAAACAAGGCAGACATTATTATCATTATCTTATAAAGAAGGTCATTTGTGGTTAGAGAAGTTAAGGAACTTGCTCTAGCCGTATGGTACTTTTAGATATTTTTATTTAATCTTAATTAGTTTTCCTTAATTCCTATTAAAATATTGACAAGGCAGCCTCATTAAGGTTTGAATATTAATTTCACTTAATAAGGTAGCTTTTATTTTTCTTTACAGTTTGGTTTTATGGATATTAAACATTATAAGATGAGTACTGTTTTATGTAAAATATTATACATGTATAAAAGAAAGCTGTTGGTATGAAAGAAAAAGATAATGGCAAAATATGTTAGGTAATTAAGTGCCTGGCACTACATATATGTCACTTTATTTTATTTCAACAGTTATGGGGCATATTCAGTATTGTCTCTGATTCACAAGCGAAGAAAACAGGCAGAGGGATATTGACCAATGTGAAAAGCAATACAAAGATAGATGATTAAAAAGCAGATAATTGCTTCTAGAGCCCCTCATCCTGGGTTGAAAATCTTAATAGTTTGTGTTTTTAATTTATATAAATGTGTAAATATTTATATATATTATATACTATTTATATAACATAAGTATATGTTATATATTATTTATATAATACATAAGTATTTATATATATTATTTGTATAATACATAAGTATTCATATAAATAAACAAAATACAAACTGTTAAGATTTTCAATCCAGGATGAGGAGCTCTAGAAGCAATTATTTACTTTTTTATCGTCCATCTTTGCATTGTGTTTTTCACAGTGGTCAACACTGTTTTCTTCATTTGTGAACCAGAGATAATACTTATGTATTTATATAAACAAATGTGTGTATATATATAAATGTTTTGTGATTGTTTCATTTTTTACAATGAGATCTCATTATATATGTTACTCTATGGATTTTAATATTTAGATTAATAAATACAGACCTGTTTTTAACATTCTGCATAGCGTACCATAGCAGATGTATCAAAGGTTTATTAACGAGTCATATGTTGATGAATGTGTAGATGTTTTCAAATTGCTCGTGTGATTTGGTGCTGCTATAAGAAATGATTTAGTAAACATCCTTGCATATATATTTTTAAGTGCTGGTACTATTATTTGTATATGATAGTTTCCCAAAGAAGAATTGATAGATCAAAGCTACTCACAGTGTTTTCCTGCTTCCCTTGAATCATGAAAAGACCTTGAGGAATAAGTTGTTAAGGTTATGTGTTGGCCTGTGCTGAATTATATTATCAGTTGCTGCCACCTCTTTGAACCAAGATACAAGAATGTTGCCATCTTGGATACTACTCCTAACTGCCTACTTTGAATGGTATTCCTGGGGTCAAGTATGAGAGCTCTGTCTAGAAGCTTCTGCTACTTTCTTAGCTTCCCTTTTAAGCTCTTTAGCCATGTGTGATAGAGGTGGGTAGTACACCTGCACCTGCCTGATCACCTCTGCCCCACTGGCAGCAGTCTGAATGAAAAGAGACTCTGAGTAAGTCACACTAATCTCTCTGAGTTCCACTTGATAAAAAGGAGTAGGTCTAGCTTCTGTAAGTCCCTTCCCACCCTGATAACTGCATGAACTGTAAGATATTCATAACAGCTCATTAAGTACTTTTAGAATATCAAAAGACTTATGTAGACCAGAATTAATATATAGTAAATATCTAAGTCAAGTGGGCCTAAAGATAAATTAAAACAAACAAACAAACAAACAAACAAAAAAAAACAAGTATACCAGAAAGACAGGTGGAGTAGCTGATGGTGTTGCCTGTAATAGATTTTAAAAGATGTTTGAATAGATAGGTACATGTATGTATGTGTATTTATATACATAGAAACTTCGTGTGTGTGTGTGTGAGTGTGTCTTTAGGAAACAGTATACT